ACGGTTTGGATTATTAAAAATCAATCCGGAGTGGGCCCTACAAGGGGTGTCCCTCAAATAAGCTTATTTGAGGGATCCCTCAATGGAAGCTCTCTGTATATATATATATATATTATAGTATATATAAATATGCTATTAAAGTGATTATACAGACTAAGTTTTATATTATTATATTATTCTATTATATACTTATATAATTTATACAAATCTTAAGCCACACTACTTATTTATTTAGTTAACTTCCAATACATATATAAACATTCTTATATTATCTTATAAGTATATATATATATATATACACACACACATAGAGATTCCATTGAGGGACACTCCTTGTAGGCCCCACTCTAGATTGTATTTCATTAATCCAAACTGTCTATTTTGTAGATACTCATTCAAAGATCATCTCTACAAAAAATTACTTGAATCCGATATCATTTGACCACTCATTTGAGTTATTGAAATTTTAGTACTTTTTTGAAGCATCGTGTGCATTGATTTTGTAAGACACAATTGGATGTCGAAACGGTTTCCGATTTGTCTAATTTTTTGAAAAGATGATCTATGAATGAAGACCTAAAAAATAGATGGTTTGGATCATTGGGAAAAAAAATTGTAAGATACCCTAAAGGGCGTCCCTCAATAGAAGAGGACTATATATATATATATTCATTACCTTGCCTTAGTACTCTTTTTTTCCAATAAAAAAGTAGTTATATATTGGTTTTTTTTTTTCCGTAATGGGGCGAGTCGGGGAACCCATTCCGCAACGAAGGTGGGGATGGGGAATCCCCGATATGAATATTACGGATATGAAGGCGGGGATGGAGGGAAAAAGCTTAACGGGGATAGGATGAGAATGGCATACCTACCCCCGATTCGACCCATTACGTTATTTACTTGTTTGACAAGAAAAGAGAAAGTTAAATACTAGGCTTGTTTGTTAAGAAACTTAACTCAACCCTAATAGGAATTCAAAACTTACATAATCTCATACATCAAGTTTATTAGGAAAACTTGCTTTCTAGTCAACAGACTTGAGGCACAAAAAATATACACGAAAGGTTGGAAGAAACAAAAAAAATAAAATTAATTTGTATATGAAACGTAAAAAACCAAAATTTCTAATTTATTGATAACACATCTTTCACCAAAAAACTAAAAAAAAAACGAAGAGTGATAACACAATTTTAATATCAAAATAAGTGCAGCCTCTTCATATAAAATAATAATAATTAATTAGCATTAAATAAATACTTAAAATAACATTACAGTAAAGAAGAATTTAATTATAGAGAGCCATTAATAGTTATTTCTCTCTCCTCAGATTTAGGAGCTCTTAGAAGTCTCAATGTTTTAGGAGTTAGATAGGGAGTATGGTTGGAGGTGGGTTTTTATTATCTAAAGAGTGGTTTAGGGAGTTCATTGTGGATGCTCTTAATGTGAGTCATATGCGAATAAGAGGTTATTGTCCCAAAATTTCTAATTTATTGATAACACATCTTTCAACAACAACAACAAAAAACAGAGTGATAACACAATTTTAATATCAAAATAAGAATAAATTTTAAAAAATCTGAATCCACATTCGAAGAAATCCAAAATATAGCATAAATCTTCGCACAAAAAAATAATATTAGAATAGAAGTTGGGGATGAAAGAAGTTGTTTTAAGAAAATGGAATCCAATTCTAAATAGGATTGTTCCTGGTACAAGAGGTCCAATTGGAAGCAACTTCAATGTTCCTTCAACCATGCTTATCCTATCCAATGCTCCACTATATAATACAATACTTAGGAATTATCCGATAAGGCTCACTTGACAGACCCGTTCCTGCCAGTGACCCGGTCCAATTACCCGGCAAAAATCCAAACCTGAACAGTTTGAACGAGGCCTGAAACATTCTGGCATTTGTCATGTACGAGGTATATTTATACCAGCCCAACATGTTGAGCTCAAACCTCACCATTCCACGAGCTCTCCCGTCCGAGATTTCCCTGGCCACGACATCACCGACGTACGCGGACACCGTTTCGATTTTGAAACGTAGAGTGGTACTGGCCTTTGTGGTTAAACACTCTAGCGGATGCGGCACCGGCTTTGTCGCGAGCAAGACTCTGCCTCTTTCGTTGTGGTCCGTTCCGTAGAAGACGGTGGCCTGCAGGCTGTCGTAGGAAATGTTGAGCTTGTGGTTGGGGTTGGACGCAACGAGCGTAACGTCCCACGCGGTGGTGAATTCCGAGGCGGACAAGTTGAGGAGGGACACGGTGGCATATTGGAGATGGAACGTGGGGTCTACAGGATTGATTGCAAGCTCCTTGGCGACGCCACAGACGACGGTGGCTACAATGCCGACGGTGATAAGGAAGACGATGGCGATGACTAATACCAACGCACAATCGAATCGAGGCTTGTTGTCGTTGTCTCCATAAGCATGAGCAGCATCCATAATCAGTTTTTATTAGTGTAAATTAGTGATGAGAGAGAGAGATGGGGTAAGCTTACATTATATAATATATTTGGTTTGCCTCTGCGAGTCCTATGCTATGCAGAATCCAGAGTTTTTCCTGGATTCAAATTCCAACAACTTATACTAAGTCCATCCTAGAGAAATTATAGAAAGGTATCATATCACCATGTCAGTTGGTGATACTCCCACTCAAAAATTGTCATCTGTATAATTTGGTAACGGCTGGATTTACCATTTATTTTTATACTTAAAAATAAAATTTTAAAAAATAAAAAATATAACAAAGGAAAATTATGCAGCAACCACCAGGCTGAACGACGAATGCCCTTCCCCCAACTTACTTCCAGTTTACATATTTTATTGCATTTTTTAATTTTGCTTTTTTGTTGCATTTTATGTTTTGTTTACCTCAATGATTAAACTATTTTGTTTTATTTGTACTTTTAAGCTTGTTTTGTTAGAGAGTAGTAGTTGCAGCATGACCAATTTAATATTTTTTTTCCATTTCTTTTCTCTCAATTCAACACCTACTGTTTTTTTGTTACAGTTCCTGTTTTTGCACTCTCATGAGGTTACATTCATTATCAACAACAAAAAATAAATTATATGATAGAAATATGGAAAAATTAATTATATTTTGAATTAATGCCTTTTTCTAAGGAAAAATAAGTTCGAACGTTGCCTTTGTTTTCACCATTTTGGCGGTGATCAGAAACCAAAACAGGATCCCACTGCCTTCCAAAACAGGGGAAGCACTGGAGCTCCAAACAAACATGTGAAGCTCTTTAGCATTATGTGGATAACTATCCGTTTTAGTAGAATCATTATTCGAAACTTGATGCTGTTGTTGTTGGAAGGAAGTAGTGATATAAAAGTGATTGATTTTAAATGAATTTGTATGGAATGAGTGTAATTATGAGATTTTGTAATCATATTATTGTAAAATTAGATGTTATTTTTTAGTCATTCACCTCATCTAGATTAATTGAAATTGAGTTCTTATCTACCACAATAGTAAACTTCCCATCGAGTTTAAACCAAAATTCCGTATATATAATGTAAAACTAATAAATCCAACACTGCTCTCTCTCTATATAGTCTTACTCTCTCTCTCTCTCTCTCTCTCTCTCTCTCTCTCTAGTCTCTCTAATCATAAATTAACACTGACCAAGACTAATTATGGAAGCTGCTTCTGTGGCCGAAGACAACAACCCTCATCGGGTCCGTTGGTATGAGTTCATAATAGGAGCTGTCCTCTTCTGCTTGTACATAATAATTATGATCGTGTTAATCAGTGACGCCGCCAGCGACCTCGGAATCAATTCCCCGGAGTTCCACCTCCACTCCGCCACCATGTCCCTTCCCAATGTGTTTGCCTCTGAATTCACCGTAAGCTAGTTTCAACATATCCAATGTAGATATTAATCTTCCACTATATGATATTTTAATATAATTTTTATAACATATGTTATTCTTATTTAATAATATGTGAGAATTATTTGTATAATACGTCAATTTTGTGTGTCTTACTAAAAATTTTGTAAAAATTACGTGAATAAAACATTAGAAATACGTACGTACATGTACAATATGACTATTGTATGTTTGCTTTTCAAAAAACATGAGACGTGTATAGAACATGTCTGTATTATTGAAAAATATGTACGTACATATATATATATATTATTTTTCTAAATTATTATCACTATATAAACTCTTTAATCCAATTTAATTAATAAAATCCCCTTTTACATTTTTAGGTAGTTATATGACGAATGTGCCAATTTTGCGTGATCTATTTTAGATCCTATGGTTCCATTGAGGGATCCCTCAAATAAGCTTATTTGAGGGACACCCCTTGTAGGGCTCACTCCGGATTGTATTTCACTAATCCATACCGTCTATTTTGTAGATACTCATTCATAAATCATCTCTACAAAAAATCACTTGAATCCGATATCATTTGACCATTCAATTGAGTTATTGAAATTTTAATACTTTCTTGAAGCGCCGTGTTCATTGATTTTGTAGGACACAATTGGATGTCGAAACGGTTTCCGATTTGTTTAATTTTTTGTAAGGATGATCTATGAATGAAGACCTGAAAAATAGATGGTTTGGATCATTGGAAAAAAAATTGTAGGGTACCCTAAAAGGCGTCCCTTAAATAAAATTATTTGAGGGTTTCCTCAATAGAAGGGGACTGTATATATATATATAAAATAAGGCAAGGAAGGTCCAACTTAAAGAAACTCTAGCCTAGCCCATTCTTGCAAAAACACTAAGCTTAAACCACAAAAATCCCAAGGCTCCAGCCACATAAATCTCGCAGCACCTGACTGCCTAAGCTCCCCAAATACTCTAGCCAACAGATTTTAAACACTCGGCCGCAACTCCAGCAAAACCCTAGGCTCTGGCCTGCTCCGTAGTCCTCCAAAT